AAGATTTTAGGGTATTGTCAAAGGCAGTCTCATGTTTTCTTTTGCTGAAAAAATCCTACTTAACGAGGCTCGGGGGTGGCAGCCATTTTTAGACAATTTCAATCTCCTTTAAAAGGAGAGCTCCATATAAAGATATAGAAATTGATCAAATTTTAAAACCTAAATTTTTGAATTTTTTCTTTGTCAAATGATAGTTCACAGCTAAAGATACCGTATCTAAAAAAATAAGTTAAATCTTGTGGTTAACTTGGGATTAATTTGTTGACCCTCCAGCCTCCTTAAAACCCGTCATTCGTCCATAAACAGTCGAGGACCGGTCAATTTGGCACAAACATAGTCCTTTTTGAAGATTTATTAGTTTGTTATGGACAGCATTTTCACTATCATAATAGGCTATTTTGTATCACTGGTCTACATTGAAAGCGATTTCCCTATTATCATATCTGTGTGTCAGTATGTTAAGTTCTCTACAAAAAAGATTTCACTAAGAAATTTTCCATTTCACTTGTATACTAAAAACCTGATGAAAATGTCGCTTCTAAACTCATTTAAATCTCTTAAAGCATCATTACTACATCAAAATCAAACTGAACTGCTCTCCAGTGCACCGTCACGTGTACAAACTTCATGTGCCGTAGGAAAATAAAATTTTGTCTATATCTGATTTTAAAAATAAAGATGCACGTAAATATGATAGATAAACATTTGTTGGCTTTATCCACGATTTTTTTCCGAACAACCATCGTACGAGGGTTGTCCAAAAAGTTCGTGGACAATACCAATGGTTAAAATGATGTAAACTCCGATATTAAGAGTTCGGATTAAAATGACCATTTTCTATATAACACAAGTAAAAAATTAATAAAACTTTTATGTAACACAAATAAAGATGTTATTATCATTTTATGATATCTTAAATATCGCTTACTATATAGACAACGAAAATACACAAAGAAAACCTTAGCAAGTACGTGTCAAAACTCAACAGAAAAAGTGACGTCGTCCGTCGGCACGGGGCAGCGTCCAGTCAAAAAAGTAAGTTTTATAACGGTTGAAACGATGTAAGAGACAAGATGTTTGTTAAAACAACTCAAAATTATTGAAATATATTGAATGTATCGATTTGGGATTAGAATATACGATTTTTCAACAGTGTGTATAAATTCAAAGACACTACAAGAAATTAAAAACACATGTATTCAACTGCATGAACCGTAAAGGGAGATTTCCTCTATTCATGACGTTGTTATAATTCTAGCGCAGCGTCGGACTTGGCTGTTCACTTTGGATATACAAACTGTTAATTTAGATGACGCTCGTAAATTTGTTTGTATTTTTTGAATTTTAAAAATCAAATAAATTATAATCTATACTTAAAGATTATTTCTAGCAATTCGAAGTGCGTTGCGCCTTAAAAAAGAAATCTTGTGTGTGTGTTAAGTCAAGATCCAAATGTTTGACGCTAGAATGAAATTAGCGTAACGTCAGACTGGTTCGCGCGCACAATCTGCGATCTTTAAAGACCCCGATTAAAAAAAATAAGTTTCATCAATAAAAGTTAAATCATTCTGACTTATTTTTTCACGAGAAATATTTTGATATACAATAAATGCAAATAGAACCATTTATTTTAACAAAAACGTCATTGACCACGAACTTTTTTGACAACCCTCGTATATACGAAAGTTCGCAAACTAATTGAATAACTTTCATACAAGAAAAAATATTTGGTTTAAATGTTGATTATATTTTAGATTCACCCTCCCAAATTTTTATGCAAATCAATCACCGTTCTGCGCATGCGCAAATCACGTGACCCACTCCATAGCGTTCTGTCACAAAAGTTGATAGATTTTTCTGAGCTTTATATTTCTTTCCATGTGAGTTAATTTTTATGACAAGCACAGTTCATTTGTCAGAAATAGTCATATCTCGGCAACAGAATGGATGGAAAATAATATCCTTTCCAAAAATAAGCATGGCAACCATTAAAACAAAAAACAAGGTGAATAGAGAATGAGTGCATCCTTTTTATCATATCGAATATGTTTAAAATCTAAAGTAAACAATATCTAAGGTATTTAATACTTATACAGGTCAAGACCACTACCTTATATGGAAGACAATTTTCAACACGTGACGATATCTTCGTCACACCTGTTCGCCAATCAAGTAAATGAGTTCGAAAGCATGACACTCTACTACGTGTTTATGGCTACACGTGGTTTTCGTCGGTTTCTGCATAATATTCACTTCGTAACCGGAAAAACCGTAGACCTTCTTTGTCACTTTTTAAGTCCAAAATTGAAAGATTACATACCCAAGACATTGCTCCATGCTCACATTTAATATTGGAGTTGTTTTATATGATAAATAGTTACTTCGAAAATTCGAATAATGTGCAAACGATTTGATGTTTGCATGTACAGTACAAACTTTCTGATAATATTTAGGGGTTAAGTAATAATAGCGCACCTTGTACTGCTGTCTAAAACTATGTACACGTATACGCAATACTGTTAAGGCTTACTATGAGAAATCAACGGAAAATAAAAGTGCAAAAAACGGGAAATTTTTAAAATTGAATTTATTTTTATTCAGCAATTCTATTATCAAGGAACTTAAATACTTATAAAAATAGCATGGTATTACATACTCTGTACTGTGTAGAGTTTGGTCCCATCGATGGGCAGTCACGTGATGAACGCATAGCAGGTACACGGAATAAAGGTCAATAACAAATTTCAATATCACAAGGGCATACCCTAATTGAATTTAAAAATTCAAGCTATTAATTGTTTCTGTGTACTTTGTAGTTTCTGAAAAGTGCTGCTTTGAATAGAATTCGCGTTTTAATACTTAAATGTTTAAGTAAAAAGGCCAATGTCGAAATATGTTAGAATTTTACCAAATATTTTGTGCACTTATAAAATCACGGCATCGATTTAAAGAAAGCAGCAGCACTTTTTAAGTTAAGGAATATATGCTTTATCTATATTTAAAAAATGGTTCAAATCTATGCAGTGTATGCCCTTGCGAAAGTACGATTTTATGAGGCATCTCGATGTAAAATATACGGAACCTGTACATAAAACACGACATAATTAATAAAATACATTCTCTTTGTAGTTAATTAACAATCGCACTAAACAAAGGCTATACCTTGGTATTAATCGACTATTTAAAATCTGTAAATAATATTCCGTTTAATAATAAAACACATTTTTCGTTGATAAACAATTTCTCAATTTGCCTCTCACAGCACATGAAGTACGTCATTTTTACCAGTATGACGTCATGTTTACAAGTTCATCGCGACGAGTGCTTTGTCTACAACAAGCTACATGGGATTTAACTAGCAACTTTTTTAAATGCATTGATAAGTTATAATGTTGTTTATTATGCTAATACTGTTGAGCGTTGCAGATCATTTCATTTACAGGTATAATGAGAACTACATAAATGTCATATTTTTGTCTGACGTCATAGTATACTTTTCCCGTATAAATTAGGCCCTGCCCCCTTATTCAAGCCTTAGCAATGCTGCGTATCACGTACAAAAAAACTCGATACTTTATCGACACGATAGCATGTACATGTGCGTCTCTTCGAACACTTGTTTAGGCCGATGTATTATAAGTTGATAAATAAGGCTTCATAAAGCAGTTTTTGTAAATGTGAGCATAGAAAAGAAAGAGTATACATCATTATATATATTTCTTCCATTAATCTCAAAAAAGAATTGAAAATAAGTTTCCAAAGGACAATCAAAGTTGGCCTTTATTTTCAACACAGCTGAGTACTTGTAGTAGCCCCAATGCATTGCGACTCATTCATCAATGGGTAAAGCTACTTTACATGCAAATCTATTCTGACGTCAGAAAATCTAGTGGTCTTGACCTGTTATATCATTGTTAAAATATTCAACTATTTTTCAAAGTGCTAATTGGAGATCTTTGATTGCAAATTGCTTAATTTAAAATAAATATCTTTTCAAATTTGCTTTCACTGGGTAAGATGACAAGTATCAATCTTAACCAACAGCCTTCCTTCAATAAAACGAATAATCCAATCATTAATTGAATTTATCGGAACTAATTAATCTCAATAAATTGTCTACAAATTTTTTATATGATACTGTAGAAAATTTCTAAGATATATTATAAATTGTACATTCGTTTGTTGAACGAGTTCGACTGAGACAACCATTTTTCGTCACAAGTGACCTAAATAGTGACGTCATTTTCAAATTGTGACATCACAAACAAGGCGAGAAACTTAATTCAGCATATGCTATTTATAGAACCTGTGTATGTCTATATGTGTACTAATTTCATTCTAATCTGAATTGTGGTTTTCTAGAAATAAAGACAGTTGGCAAACTTTTCGATCACCCCTAGTACTCTAAAATTATGTCTTTTCATTAATAATACAATTTGGAATGAGAAAATCCTTGCATTAACTGCTCATATATTTTGGTTATCTGTGCAAAAATAGGTAACCTCAAAGGTAAGTACAGAGATCAAACATGTTCCTTTTTAACGAAAAGTTTCTTCTCAAGGAATAAATAAATACAGTTAATATTGAATATGAAAGGCACGGTTTCATACAATCAAAGATGACATGTAGCTTGACATAAAGACAAAAAAAAAACTAGAATGTAAACTAAAAAAAAGAAGAAATGCACATACTAGGTAAAATTCCTGACTATTATTTTTCTTTGACACGTATAAAATAAGAACATGGGGCGGTATGAAATATTGTTTTTGATATTATCATTGAATTGTACAATTAATTGAATAAATAGTTTCAGGAGAACTGAAAAAAAATTACTTCCAACTTTTTTTGATAATAAAAAACATGATATCCCGTAATGAAGAAAAAAATTCAAATAATAAAAAGTTCCGAAGATTCGAAATATACAAGCCATTAAATATTTTTTTTAAATTATAATAAAAATAAATGCCAAATAAATTTTAATATGCATAAATTTACGTTACCATTTTTCAAGGAAGGGCCGGTATCATTTATAAGATGGTGAGGTTGAAGGCCAAAGCAGGATAGCAAATTTTTATTGTTCTTGACAGATTCACTTTCAGGTGTTGGATTTGAATAAAAGTGTCCAATACGGCTTTCAGAGTATTTAAAATCCGAAATATGTAGATCTGTGTTGCAAAATAGTATATGTTCATTCAAATCAAAGACTGTGTCAGAAATCATAAACAAAGGAAAAGTGCCATGTGTCCCATTTTCACTAAACGTTATATGAACTTCCAGCTGTATTAAATTTTTAAAAATCAAAACTTTTATGTCTTTTGGTTTATATTGTTCCACGAAAAATTTCGGAATTTCTGATATGCTGTCTTTCCATTGGTCATTTAATGGACTTCCAAAATAAAAACAAGGTATCCAGCAGTCAAAAGGCATCATTAGTTCTTGTTCAATTGCAAGTTCCAAAGGATCCTTCAATCCATAATGAGGGAAATGGAAAATATGAATCTAAATATCTTAATATTGTAGGTTTAATAAAGATTCAATTTTGATGAAGACATCATTTAAAGAAATGAGTTAAAAATTATATCTTAAGATGCATTGAACTAACATCAGCAAATTATATCAAATATTTGTGAAACTTTAAAACAACAGACACTTAACCAGTTTACTATAATAATGTATATAACTATAATAATATAATTAGTGTATTTTTATCAATTTATAAATTTGAATTCTTTTTAAAAAAAGGACTTTGTTTTACTTGCTTTATCTGCGGAAGAGGAGTTATTTTATATTTCAGATTCCATTTAAAATTATCTTATATACATATCTTAAATCTTTGGTTGCATATTTTGTGCATATGTACGTTAAAAAGTCATCTCACATTGCATCATTTACTAATATCATATACCAGTATATATCAGTACCATATTTATTAACCGGTCATTGGAGTTCACTTTATAAGGCCATAACTCAAAAGGTTCCAAAGATCTAGAGTAAATGTTGTAATCTGAAACACAAAGAAATTTACAATTACTTTTAAAATAATAGTAACGTTTAACAAAGACGTTTTAAGTTTTAAAATAATTATGTTTATTTTCTTTATGCCATTTTGTGGAATAAAAAAAAATAGTGCACTGGCTAATACGTCGTTAGCGTAATCATGAATAAGTGCTTTCTATGTCCGTGCTGTTTATTGTATATGTTTGTGAATGTTTTATTTTTCTAAAAAAAAAGAATATTAATCATAAATTGGCACCCCAAAGCCGATAATATAAAGCCTGTTTTTCTAAATACACATATGAAGCAAATATGCGTGCGTGACGGGAAGTCGGCAATTCTACGTTTGTATTCCAATTTTCTGTCTGAGAAAAAAATGTACCTGCGATCCTGTTCAGTATTCATCAATGAAAAACATGCCGTTTAGTACTCTGATCAGGTTTTGAACATGTATAAATGTATTATTTCAGAAACAGAATTATCTACAGTATAATCTACAACCGGAAGTTAACAAAACCGCCTCCACTTTCACTTCGTGAATGTAATCATCAATTGAAACAACATTGATAAAATAGACATTATTGATAGATTAGATATCATATCAGAAGGAACTATTAAATCGAAATAATTAACACAATTAAGATGTGAAGTCAGTAAATTGTTATAAATTTCAGATGTGCCAGCATATTTCTTTGCCTGGTACATGTGGTATGTATTATGGAGAAACATCTATTATGAATGGCAAGTAGCAGTGTTTTAGGAGGCCTGTGCTTCTGTATTTATTTTTACTCTTGTCATGTTTAATGCAAATGATTACTACTCAAAGCAAGGTTACAGACCACGGATTCCCCATTCCAAATATGCTGTTAAGTGTGTAAATGGTCAGGAGAAACGCATTCTATATATAGCATGTTATAAGTGGATTTTTTAGTTTCATTGAACCCGCGCCCCCTTAAATTTTACGAACTTTCGCCATTTCTTTTGATTATGAGAGAAAGAGACTTCAAAATTGGTGTTCATACTCCACTATAATGAAGTACTTTCAAATGACACTAAGATCAAAGACTTTGTGATCTTGACTTTGACTCACTTGATAAAAATGGTTCTTGTGAACTTTGTTGCGCATAGTTTTTCAGAAACACATCTTGTTTTTTTTTCAAAAAAAGCATACAACATAAAAAAATCATGTTTTACCTCTTAATGATTTTGTTTCTTCAAATAATTTTTGTTCCTCGTGTACCTCCAATCCCTCAGTATATTTCATTTTCTTAGTCTCTCCTTCACTACTCACTAACAGTCCGTTAAGTAGATTGATTTTTTCTGCCCCAGGTATTCCTGTAAGCATTAATCTGGCACGTTGGCCGATTTGTATTCTTCCCAGCAGAAGTTTATGTAGCATGGCTTTCCCCACCCTAGCACATCCTACAATCCTCCCCCGGGCGTGGTGGACTGTCTGTGCTCTCTTAAAGTTTTCCAAATACTGCTCTCCGGCCTTCTGGTTCGACACTAGTTCTTTTCTAGAGACTCTTGCTGTATCAACAGTATCAAATAATAAAGAACTAAAATAAAGCATTGTTCTACTGTCAATAATGTGTCATCGGCTGGAATGTTTCAATGTACAAGTCAGCAAAAAATTGAGCTCTATACAAGAGTCGTTCAGTAAGAAGTGTAATATATATTTTCTATCATAAAAACTGTTTGGGAATTTGATTTTATTTTTTTTCCAAATTACAAAGTTCGATTAAAAAGCCCCTTGACATAGAAAAATATATGTTTTTTTCATCGCAAAGAAATTCATTTTAAGGACAGATGATATAAGCAAAAATAGTCGATGTCTTAATTGGTACATATAATTTTTTTACCTTTTTAGGTTGAATGTGATGTGATAAATTAATTTCTAAAATATCAGGAATTTGTAAACTTTCCATCGTGTTTTTTTTTAGATTCAACCTTTCTGTGATTATCCCTATTTATCTATACAATTTATTTCACTTCAAATCCAATATTTCAGTGAAACTGTATATGAAAAACTAAAATGTGTGCGGCTAAAAGTATGGATTTTACTTGTATTAATGTATTTAAGGTTGTTTTAGGTTGTTACTTTCAAGATTTTGATAAATGTTTGAGTTACCTGTCCTTAAAGTAAGCACGGTCACTACATCCAAAAAAGGACAAGCAAAGGTTACTTTTATGTTCAAATTGCATCAAGAAAAAACTGAACAAATTTCCTGCATAGGGTGTACAAATACCGGCGACCAGAACCTTTTTTCCAGCGTCTTACAACAGAGGTGCATATACACTTAGAAAAATGAATAACATTTTGAAGAAAGAAAGTATATATAGACCTTTATTTTCCACCACCCATTTTATCTATATCTCAGCCATTGTGATATATTTTTATTCGCAAAAACTCTCATGAAAACAATTAAAGAAAGATTCTACTATGCCAAACATGTCATGGAAAATGATATTTATCAGTGTCTTTGGGGCATCTCTAAAGATGAGAATGCTGATTTATTTCTTTGTTCAGAGATACAGAGACTTACAGAGATTTCAAATGAACAAAAAACAAGCTTATACTCCATTTATATACTACCAATCAGAAGCAGAGTTAATACAGACTTCAAATAATATAAAAAGCAGGATAAGGTACCAAAGTAGAGTTAGCATTTCCTATCAACCGATCTGACCCGCTGTGTGATCATGGCCTAACGACTAATATTAAAATGTTTGCAGTATTTGTTCCAATGATAGAGAGTATTTGCACAAAAGGTCATTGAATCGACCCTATAACTTGCGAAATGTTGACTTCAAGATAAATATGGATAACTTTATTTTATCAACTTATCGGTTTTTAGTTTGCCTCATCGAAAAAACGATTGCATTTAGAGCATGCTAGTGTGTAATGAATGAACTGGAGTACAACAAATCCATATATACCGGTACATAGCTGAGAAGGGAATATTGCCACATAAGTAAGGGACGTTGACTCGGCACTTAAAAGCATATAGTGAGGTGAGCGTCTTTACCTTGTCAATGCTTACCCTGGAAGTATCTCCTTATTTTTCCATTTCATTGTGAAATTATATAATTGTAGATTTAGACTTTAAAATTGTAAACATAGATTTAAATTACAGGAGGACTCCCATGCCAATTTCAATAGTCCTCGACCATTTATGTAAAAAACAAAGGCAGCCGCACGAGATTTACATGCATATTTAGCCTCTTAAGCGTCAGACACAGAGACAGATGAGCACGCCATTTGTATGCACATTCGGCCTCCTTAGCTTCTGACCTATAGACCTGCCTAATTAACATTCGGGTAAAATTATCAAGAAATCAACTCCCCTAAATTTAAAAGAGTTATCACAAAGTAAATAGAAATAGAAATGGAAATATTTCGTAATCAATTAAAGTACTGTTAAAGTACATTTTTCAGCGTGGTATTAATTTAAGCGGTCACAAATTTTCCGCAAAAATCCTTCCAAGCCTTCTTTATATCCAAGGCATATATTTAAAGTGTAAGAAGTCCGTGTAATATGCAACCCGAGGATTAAATGGAAACTGAGATTTCGCGGAATTGTGAAACGTGGAAAAAGTACGTCTACAGTATATTACATATAAGATTTTAAAAGGTAATGTTAAATGCATTGTAAATAATAGTTATTTACATTTATTTACAAGTTTTTTTCTCTGTGAAAATTGATTATAGTGATTGCTATTCTTGATACGGATTAAAAACAACATAAGTATCTAATTAAACTCATTGAATCTTTAAAATTAGACAATTTCAGATTGCACGGTTTACTTTGTATATGTATTTCTCTTTATATGAGTCCAGTTACACATTGATATCTGTTAGCATACATGAATGTACCTGATTTGAGATTATTTTGATTTTTTTAAGATGTCTTACAAATTAAAACATACACATTTTCTCTCCTGTTTCTTCCTGTTTCTTGTACATGGGCTCTCCTTAAAAAAAAATTGGTCAGTATCACCTGGAAGTAAGCACACTACAGTATGTACAAATACAGTTCCAGACAATGAAATATATCCAAATTAATACTTATGACTTATATTTGTAAATTATACCTGCTTTGGACTTGCCTAAATTTTTCCTGGTAAGATATTCAATGACTTCGGCCTCTGCAACTATTGTTTTCAAGTTTTTGTTCTTTTGAACTATTGGTTGTTATGTTTCAATGCCGCTGCAAGCGCACAGTCCCTCCTTTTAATATGACTTCAAGTCCTGTGAAAGTGAAGTATTATAAACTGTTTGTGTTTGTATTTATAAACATGTACTATTCAATGTTATTTAATGTTTTGTTATCTCTGGGACATATACTTCATGAATTGTTTGTATCAAAATTATAAAGGAATTATTTATAGGCTACGTATTTGTATAATAAAATTGATTACTGCATTCAATTGTTAA